GAACTACAACTAAAAAGATCTTCTAAAAAACCAACGTTCCAAACCAAGCTAGTGGTTAATTAGAGTGGATCTGTGACTGGACGAAGAGCTAAGAGCTGAGTCTCATGCCTTGGGCTGACTGTCAGAGGATCACTGGTTTGAATCCCACCTGGACCACCTGTGGTGTGGTCCACAGGAATGGGTTGGTAGGGGTGGCAGAGGACAAATCTCCTTGTGTGTCTGTATATGTAGAACAACAAAAGATGATTCTTCTTCCTCTTATTCAGTTGCTTTAAATGAAGATTTTTATTAAGATTACCAAAGGTATTTGCTTCATTTCCCTAAAACATTTATAAGAAAATAATAATTACATTACATTATAATAATAAATATTACTCAGTTGCTGTGTCTGTGGAAAATTGCATAGCTCAGCCCTTTTGGTGTGTGATTGTTGGCATCACTTCAACATTTTAAATAGCTGCTAAAATAGTTAGGAATAGCTCTATGTCTAACTCTGTGTTATAATTTCACATAGACATTACATTTTACCGGTCTTGAATGTGAATATCACAAAATGTTATCATATTTTTATTTGAAACTCCCAGTCCTTTTCCACAGTGATAATCTATGCAGCCTTTTTACATTACTCTGTACAACGACCATGTCGACGATTCTGATCTATCCCACTTCTGTGACTGGACATTTCCAATTACCCAGCGGCCTCATAAGCTTTTGTCACTGTCTTAGCATACATCAGTAAAACGCCCAATGCAGAAAATTATATTCGTTTGGCCTACCTTTCTATGAACACCAGAAATACTGTACTTGGGTTAATGAACCCAGTCAAGAAAAAACTCGCACAGAACATAAACGTAAAATATCTGCAGTGATAAAGACATGTAGAAGGTTGACATTAAGCCAAGAAAATGGCATTTGTTTTCTTCCGTCATCTTTCTTGATGTAATGCATTTTAAATAACTGCCACGATTTAAAAACTGTAACACTGAGCAAAGCTGAGGATCCGGCGTGTGAACACTTTATTACCGTTCCACATCATTATCATTCAACGATGGGCGCTAAAGGTCACGCCAGCACACTTTTACAAGCGCTATATACCTACACCGGAGCACGTCAGACGGAGTGTTTATTTTTTATGCAGTGGCAGTTACACCACACAAAATTAAAAGTTAGTTTATGACCTCAGTCGGAAATCTACTGGAAGCTGAACACAACACACCAAATAATTATTTTTCAATTGTGAATATTAATTCTTCACTTGACTGTCCAATGAAGAATAGGGAATATATATAAATAAATATTGTGTTGATCTTGTGTTGAACAGGCTAAAAAACATACAAGATTTCAACCTAATTTGAACACTCAAAATATGCAAATTATTTATATTCAATGTGCAAAATATATGACATATATATTGAACATGTGCAGATTGTGTCTAAATATTATTTAATTCAAATCATAAAACAGCTTTTTTATACTGGCGGCTACTGCAACTACAACTTGGACAGAAACATTTATATTTACCTACAGATTACCAAAATGTATTTGCATATTTAAAGGTAGTATACAAGCCAATACAGCATGGTGAGAGTAATTGTCCAAGGTTTATATTCATGCTATGGGAAACCAATAATGTTTGCAGACCTGGTAAACAAACATCCCCGACATAGACCAGCGAACATCACAGCAGAGATACTGTATTTAATGCATGTGAAGAGACAGCTAATATTGTAGGTGTCTCCTCAGCGACCACCACAGAACAGCAAACACACATCCACGTGTGCATTAATACAAATCTGGAAGCGTGCATGTTTGAAGCGTTGTGGTTAAAGTTTATTATTATTGGACCTAATAAACACTTTTATAGAACTTCAGCCACAGTTGCTAGTTTGTTTGTTTTTTATACCCCACAAACAACACAAGTCCTTTTCTGTAGAAAACAAATATATATAAAAATGGTGATTAAAAAAATAGAGCTGTCTAAATGAGCACATTAACCACACTAATTATGCTGTGAAGATTAATCTGATTAAATTTTTTAAAAATGTAATAGCAGGGCAGAATGAAGATCACTGTATATCCAATATTTCCTCCATTAATTCACTAATTACTTAATTACTATACATAGTCGATACGCATGTTATAATTTGCTGTCAGGGCTTAAAATCCCGTCTCTTCTCAGCCTCAAATTCCAGCCACAGACTAGCAAATAATTGTAATTATTAATGATTAATTCAGAGCTACCCTGTGATAAATCAGATCAAATTTCTAATTGATTGACAAATGTTACTTTTATCACCATGATTTCAAAAACAACTTGGTGTCTTTCCCAACAATTAAACATATTATAGAGTTAAGTCCACAATTCACAATAACACTTTTAACGTTTAATGTCTTACTGTACTTCATGTCTGCACACACACACACACACACAGTTCATACACCAACCACTGACATTAGCCACAGGACTCATCACCTTTTTTCCCATATTTCCCCCCTTTTCCTTCTGTGACCTCTGACCTCTGCAGTGAACAATTAGCCCTCTGCCCAGATGTAATACATATTAATCATCCTCTGCTGTAATAAGTCACTTCCATTCATTAACATATAAAAGCTCTTCAGGAACTTAATTTTAGCCCTGCATAATGGCTGCACTCCCACACACACACTGTTCCTCAAACTCACACTCCTCACACACCCCCAACACACTGAAGGAAGGGGGGGGGGGGTGAGTCTGGGTAAACACAGTCTTTGCCTCTTGATACTGAACTAATGTATTAGTCCACTCTAATCTCTGCTGTTCAACATCGGTCAGAGAGGTGAAGGAGTCAGAGAGACGTCTGTCCCAGAGGATTCTCTCAGACCAGATGGTTTTTAAGATGGAGTGATGTTGAGGAGAGCAAATTAACTGAGTGTATTTAATGTTCCAGTAGGGTGTAATAAACATGAGTAAGTCGTGGTCATTTGCTTATGCTTCAGGGTCTGGTGTGAACACTCTTCTTCTCTTTACTCTTTTCCAGACACATAATGATCTCAGGAGAACCATGGTTTATTTGGAACAAGGAGATGCAGAGATTTTCAATCAATGAGAACCTTTTGCGGAAAAACAGAACAGACAGACAGAAATTGCAGAGATATTTGTATGTTTGCTGAAATCAGTTGTTTCTATTCACAATACAAATGACACTCTAGGTGTGTGTTAAAGAGATGATGAATGAGTGTGAATTCAAAACAGCCTTTTCTATATCCACTTTGGTTGGTGCTTTGCACTTGCCAGAAAAAGCCCTCTTCTACACTTATTATCTGACTGGCCCTATTCTAGCTCTATTTTCCACATTAATCTGGTTAAAAGCTCTCCAATATATGCAACATCCAAAAGTGTTGTCCTTGTAAAAACCAAACACAGACACAGAAAATTGATTTAATTTTTTTCTCTATCCAGATACTACTTCCTTTATGGTTCACTTAACGACACGAGGTGAGTACTATTCCCCTGATCTAACACTGAATTATTGACTTAATTAGTCATTTTAAAATATCTTGTTAAATTAATTACATACAGAAACAAATTACTTAAAAATTGGTCAAATAATTTTTTTTAAATGTCATCTTAAAAGTAGAGCTAATTCTTTAGCCAGAGCTGTAGCAACAGAATACACTTTCCATACAGGAACTTCATTTAGAGTTCGAGTTGTCATTTGTATATGTATATATCTAGCTATATATACACACACACACACACACACACACATATATATAAAGAGAGAGAGAAGGATCATGCGGGAGAGAGAGAGATCTAGATAGATATCATTTGGCATAAAATTTGGGGAACAAGTCTCTAGTCTTTAACACATATTCATATCCAAACAGCCTTAACACCATAATGCATCTGTCAGTGTTTGTTGTTATTTTCCGTTTAACTACATTGTGAAAAAAACACCATATTTCACATTGTCTACGGTGACAGGAGGTCTTTGTTTTTCTGACAAATCCTCCATTCTGTTGCTGTAATACAGGCTTGTTTACAGTGTCCTGCTGTGCTTTGTCTTCAACATAATCACCATGTTAAGCATAATGTGCACCTAGAGAGGTCTTGTAAGAGGAGTTTTGAAAATATTAAATGGCATAAATTTCAAACGCCGCACCGTCGGCAACCTATGCACAAACTGCGGTGGGATACAAGCCATTTAAATATACACTTTCATTTCCCATGAATTACTGCAGAAGGCTGAGTCTGACTGGGTGTAATTATTTTCTTTCTGGAGGAGTTTGAAAGTCTTTGATGGCAACATGCTGCTTAATGGGGTTCTTAAGGTGGTATTTTTCTCAAATTTAGTCTTCATGTGCTTGTTTTCTTGTGTCGGGCTGAGGCTTTATTCAACATCAACAACACTAATTGCCGCCCACTCGCAATAATCTGCTGGACAGAAGAAAGAGAATCTGAATTATTTAACATGTATTTGCTGTGAGAATCGATGGGAAATCAATGTGGTGGAGTGGGTGTCCCACACGCCACAGGATTATGGACGACCAAGTCTAACACATACATGTATTTATCTGACGTTCACACATACACTAAGTGCACGGGACACTGATTGACAATCTACTGCCGCAAAGTGCAATTACCTTGAGAAGAGAAGGACGTTAACAGGCCAATCACGTTGAAATGTGATGCAAACAGCCCACAGACACCCAGTCAGCATTTCTCTCTGTGTGAACTGTTGCATGAATTACTACTGGGCTGTATATCTTCTCATACACTATCTGATGGAAATATTGTAGGAGTGCTTATCTGCATGCAGCAATGATGACTGATGCTCACAGGAGGAGTGACTGCTGGGAAAGCTTTTGCGTCCCTCTGAGACTAGATCCGGCTCCCCGGTGCATGGCATCTTTGCATTCCCGTGTCCGTCTGGAAAGCAACGCTGGAAGTAATCAGGCCGGGGCCTGGAAGTCAATAAGGACACAGATTAAAGAAAAGTTCAATTTGACGCTAAAGAAACACGCTGCACACGTCAGTGACATCAGAACTCTACATTTTAGACCCTGTTTTTTCAAAATAAATTCTGCCCTCTAACCCTTTTGCTACAGATTTATACACATTTCAAAGAATTTTCAAATGTAACTATATAAAGCCCTAATTTTCTGCCTCCTTGTTTTAAAAGCTTTTACCCTGTCTGGTGTGCCTCATGTATTTACCTTGCTTGACTGGACTTGTTCGCTATTTTATAAAAACTAGAACAAGAAAACACATAAAACATGATAACTAACTGAACCAAGAAGAATCTTTTTTTTTTACAACGTACAGACAAGTTATAAAGGCTATACCGTAGTATCTGTGAATTTATTTTATGACCTCTGTGGACCGCTGTGCTTTAAAACAATGGCCTTCGGTGCACAAGTTAAAGCAGAACAGAGGTCGATGTCAGCATATACAGTAGAGACTATAATCCAACCCAGCAGGAACGGTCGACCTCACTATCATCCATAAATGTAATAAAAGTGACATTAAAAGTACAACCCAAATAAACCATTTCCTAATGAGACACCACTGCGTGGGCCTGACTAATAAAGTGGAATAGCATAAAACAAAACATTAACAAACCTCTGTGGTCCCTCCGTGTACAGACCACACAAGTCAGTTTTATAGTTGGTGTCTTTTCCTTTTACACCACCAGTAAACAGACAGTGTCTTTCTTCAGCTTTGCTCCAACTAAACTGACATGAGTTAAACCTGCTGTGGTGAAATTAGTTTAGACATTTGCTCTGCATCTGAAAAAACATCTTTTGCTCCCGTTACACCACCTGATCACATGATCACAGACAGTTTATATCCATTTTATCTCTGCACCAGCCACAGGAATGCATAGAAGAGTGATCCCTGCCCATACTCCATACTCTCTCTCTCACACCCACAAACACTTGCGTTTTCTCTCTCTCTCTCTCTCTCTCTCGCTCTCTCACACACACACACACACACACACACACACAGTCTTTAACGTCACGCCTGACATTCCATTGACACCTTTTATAATTGGTTTCAGAGACTAAACGGATGACAAAGTATTGGTGCAGACCTGGATCTGTGAGGTAATAGCACTTCTTTTGGGTGTGCGACACACGGAGGAACAGTTTAGTTCTGTCGGAGGATGAAGTGAGTCTCCGTCCTGACAAACTTAAACGTGTGATGTTGTGCTACAAGGTTGTTTTGACTCACTGTCACTGCCTGCAGAGTGTGGAGCTTGTTTAGCATACCTGCCAACAATCAACTTGATGGTGTTGGTGAAGACTCCATTCAGGGCCAGCGCCAGAGAAACGGCTGTAGGGGAAAATGATTGACATTATTCACAAATTAGAATGGAGCAAGACTGATGTTTTTTTATTTTTGAAAAAAAAGAAAGAAAGATAACAGTGACTGAGACCTTATTGAACACGACTGTCACACTGTAGCTGTAGTGGTGTTATACAGCTACAACACATAACGAGGTTACGTTTGTTACTCACTGCTCTGACATACTGTACAAATCAAGCAGCTTCATGTGAGTACCATCAACAAAAAGGTGCTAATATATATGCTGAGTATATGATGTAATATTGCATAAGACATTTTTCAGGCCAAGTGCTCACAACACAACTACACAACAATATACTTACGGTGTAGGTAAAAAATTAACTCCATTAACTGTAAAATTAACCCAGGAAATAAAGTTGAACCAGTGACCCTACTGCTGCACAAGCAATGAGGCTAATCACCTAAATACAGAGAAACCCTGAACTCAGAAATGTAATCTTGAAGTTCATACTGTGACCACAGAAACAAAGAAAAAAAAAGTAAGATATTTTACTGTTGACAAAAGCTGTAAGGGTCAGATCATTGAACAGACAAATCGAATTGAGGGGAATTTACCGCTTTAACGTTGACAGGTAGGAAACTCACTGTAACTGTACTGTATGTTCATTTCATTAGCACCAACCCACTGTGGTCTCATCATTACCCAGAGTGCCTGCCCTTACAGGGTAATCCCTGCAGCCTGCAGGCAAATTGAATTCATCCCACATCTTCCATGTTCAATTTATTATCATCGGTTGCTGCTGAGAGGAGAGTTATTTAATATTCTGTTATTTTGGGCAGAGCCTGCGAGGCTCATCTGAAAGCCCACACGGTGCATGTTCCATCTGACCAGTTCAGCAAGGGAACGTTAAATGGCAAGGTGTTCACTCTGTCAGACCCAGCACAGTGTTAGGACACCTGCGTATGGTAGCTCATAAAATTCCTGCAGCAGAGGCATTTCCTCACATAAAAATCTAGATGTAGAGGTTTACTGGTGGTCATTCAAATGTTAATTACCAATTCTCTGGCCCACAGTCCAGAGCAGCGGTGAAAAAGGTTTGGCAGAGTATTGGGGTTTTTTTTTATTCTATATATTTTAGATTTGACTGTTTGACTCAGTCAACTCAAATACTTTGTATCAAATTACTTACAAATACAGTGATGTTTTAGTTTCAATTCTCACTTTACCGACTCCTGTTTAGTCAAACAAAACAGTGATATACCTTCAGGAATAGAAGAAAAACACAAAAAGATTTTCAAAATATTAGTTCTATTATAAATATGTATGTATATAATAATACATTTCTTCTGAGTCTTTTTTCCCCCCCAAGTTTTAACGCCATCTGATTCTCTGTCACAGTCGCATAGAAGGATAAACAGAGAAATTGTTTGCAGTTAACAATACTTTGCCGAACAATTAAGTGTAATCAATGTCTCACAACATACTGTACCTCATGATTGCTCATGGTGCACTATTATACAGATGTAAATAGAAAAGAATGAAGCCTAAATATGAATTACTACACAATTACTGTCATTAAACGGTCACTTCTTTAGGGTTTTGTTTCAAATTCTTTTCCATCTAACTATTTGTTTGACCTTTCTGAGCCAGTTACTAATTCAAAACTAATGGGGAAGGACGGTTATAATTTTAATTTAATGTGACTTTAAAATCTGTACGGTAGTTGTTGCCGGACAAGCTGCTCTGACTAGTTGAAGACTGACTTTTACACACACCACAATCTCTAGGAATACCAAGGAATGATCTAAAAAAAAACGACAGAGAACAGAGTTTGTTCTCAGCAGCAGAACAAAGAGAAAAACTGTTGATTTTTCAGGGTCAGAAAAGAAGTGTTCGGTTGGACAAAGGCAGGAGGCATCTGTTACTGAAATCACCACTTGTTAAAACCAAGGTAGTCAGAAGGGCATCTCTACAGACACAACACATCTCACACTGAAACAGAGTCAGTGGAGCAGGAGACACTGACTCCCATCAATCAATATCAGGTGTTTCCATGCATTTCTCCAGATCTGGACGATAAAATATTTGGACTAATGCACCACGACCTCCAGATAAAATGACCTCAAACTGGTGTCTTCAACAAAGTTTTTGATTAACTATTCACAAATGGCCTTTGCAGTCACTGGATCCAGCAAAGCACTTTTAGGACAGGGTGGGAAAAGGTATTCCAATTGTTGAGACACAGCCAACAATGAAGAAATTGCTTCCACTGCTTAATCTTTGTCAGGGTCACGGGGGTGCTGGAGCCAATCCCAGCAGTCATCTCATGAGGGTGGGGTAAACCCAGAGACAACAACATCTACAGTACACTCACATACAGATATTCACTCCCATGGTCAGTTCACAGTGTCCAGTTGAGCTTCACCCTAATCTGTATGCTTTGGACTGTGGTAATAAACAAGAGAACCTGGCGAGAGTTACACAAGGACCAGGGATGGAAGCAGGGAACCTGTGACTTCCTTGGTGTCAAACCAGTTAAGGCTAACATATGAACTATCAAGTCTGGAATTTATCCCTTAACCATCTGGTTGAAAGACAACTACAGTAAACTGCTGAACTGCAGCCGTCCCCACTTTCACTACTACTTGCTGCCACTGAGTCGGCGTGAATCAAAAACATTAAACAAAGCCTTTCATCATCTGGTTGAACCAAAGCCACAAAGACTGGGATCACATCTAAAGGCTGACTGGGCTCCAGCCTGATAATAGCAACATGGACCCAATTTAAGGGCTTGTTGTTTTAGGACAGCTTAGCTGGTGGTTCCCACATCAGGGCCGACCGTAGAGCTAATGATCCATGCAAATGAAGTTTCCTGAAGCAAGGCCAATTGTGCTTTTGTTGTGTTTCTATCCGTGTGGGTCAGTGGGTTTTCCTGAGAGTTTGTGTACAACAGCTTAATGAGAGACTCGAGGGGCAGAAAAGTAATTTGGAATTTTTTTTTGAATGGGCAGATTTCTGGGTGTATGTTCACTTCATCTTCATCTCCATTTCTTTTATAATCTACTGCTGAGACTTTTTCAGACGAGGGTCAGCTCAAATTGCTCATGTGTAATTCTAATGCGTGTAGCACTCGATTCAAGTGCACTTGCTGAATCTAAAATGGTCTTTTGGATTGTCCTCCCAAACACTGTCTGTGCCACACTGGCTCTTTTGTGCAGTGCGGTGTACTGAAATAGTGACGTTCCATTTTAGTAACACACGAGGGGTTGAACAAGGCAGGAGAGCAGGGGTTAATGGCGTCACATCACCAAAGTCTTTTTGACTCAGCAGGATATTGTACTCAGGTGGCCTCGCACAGAAGCTCTTTGTAAAAAGACATTGATTGGAGACATTCCACGTAGTTCATCACTGTCTGGAACTTCTAATACAACTAAGAAGAAAGCAGGTGTGGAGGAGTGCAGTGGTGTAACGCTGTACATGTTAATGCTCTCACACACAGCATGTCAGTTGGAGACCGTGACGCCAGCCATCCAGCGGTGAAAATAAATCACATTGTTTCACCCGTTCTTCACCAGCCCAACAATTAACCACCGTGCATTTGCATAATCTCTGACAAATGATGATTGCTTTTCTCAGTGTTTTGTTCTGTGCAGAAAAACAATCAAACACAAGCGTCTTGGCAGATGCAGCAGATTGTGGCGCAGGAGTTTTGGTGACGATGAAATGTTATCAGACAATCATATGATGGGAACAGTGTGTTTTTCTGCCTCTCAGGAGAATAAGAAGGAGCCATAACAGCAGAACATACTGTGCTGGACAATTAATGCACTTTCTTACAAAAACGGAAGCGAAGAAATGTTTTTCTTCATTTTCTTTCAGTTTGTTTTTGTGTGTTCCTTCAGCATAAAAATACAAAACAAGATTTGGATGAACAAACTCGACAGTTTTTCATAGACAGGCTGGAATTTATATCTTATAAAAAAATATATATATATGTTATAATGGTTAACTGTTTGTGGTTGGTAGTGAAGATAAATTAGTCTTTTGCTTCAATAGCAAACCAAATCAAGAAAATCATTTTAATGATCTATTGTTTCTTAGTTCCAGATGAGGTAGTGATTAAAATAAGGTTCCAAACATTCGTTCGTATTTATTTTGTTTTACAGGAGAAAGTCTGCACACAGCATATAACCTCTGAGAAGGATGTTTTATAATCTCTTCCATCGTATCTACATTGAATTCATCCTCAAGGACCCATCAATGGATTTGTATTAAATTTCCTTAATGGTCCAAATCCCTCGTAGACCTCTCAATCACAGACAGCATGATGTGAGGAGGAAACTGTTCCCCAGCTCCAGTTTGACAACTTAACAAATGTCATTAGAAATGAATTGATATTAAACGATGACGTCATTAAAATCTTTACAATTAGCGCAAACATTTAAGTGGATGCACTAGTTTTAGTCTGCATATTATATATATATATATTGTTTGTTTTTGGTAAAGGTTATGTGGTACAGTAGTATGAGGATGTAGTACTTCACGTACAGTAGCTGCAGTAATGCAGAGGCTTAGATCAAGATTTTCGATACATAAAGACTACTGCCAAGACAGAGTCTCCTCCCAGGAGGACAGTGGCTATAAAGACAAGAATAATGGACGCAGAGCTGCTCAAGTCTTTGTCTTTTTTTTTTCCAAATGCAAAATGGCAACAATCTTTATCTTTAATTCCTGAAAAATCAAGAACTATAATTTAAGGAAAAGCCTGAGTGCAAACCTGATTCAGTCCTATCTACTTTATATGTTAGTTCTTAATTATTTTTTTTTACACAACTTACACAAAGCTCCATCATATCATACAAATCCTTTTAACAATTTGAACAAATGAACGGACATCTTATTATCCAGGGCAGAGCATCCACATACCTAAACATGCCTCCTTGATTTCCGTCTTGTCCGTCCTCTGAATTATCTTCACCACGAAAATCACAGCCAGCGGAGTGAGAAATGAGATTGCCTGTGAGCGAAGCGAACACAAACAAAAGTTAGAGATGCATTATTCTGAATTCCACAGAGACGGTGGTTCAGGTTAATTGTAAAATGAGCTTAGCTTCAGGGAGACACTTGAACTTGTCCTTTCTTCACAGCTAATAAATATAGGAGCTCCGCTCCTCACTAGATAAAAGATTCGGTTTTCCTCAGCAGCTAGCTAGGTAATTATTCATGTCCCCAAATGTTTTAATTATTTTTCCACCAAATCTAATATATTTCTTACTCCTGAAGCAAAAACCAAAGATGGATTTGGAATCCATTAAAATGACACACGTGGTGAATTTCCCTGGAGAGCTGCAGCCTTATGGACGTCTGAGTATCTCTTCCAAATAAACTAATTGTGCCTCTCCATTTGAAGAGGCTGCCATCAAAACTATAATCACATTTAGATACACACTGAGGGATAAACATGAAATTGTCAAATTCACAAACCATTGTCAAGGTTTTTGTAGCTTCCACCTTGACCTTTCAGCCCCAAACTCTAAATCAAGTAATCTTAGTTTGGTATTAGGATTAGTAAAGGCAAAAAAAAAAAAAGAAATCCTCCTTCAGGTTCCCAAACACACCATCTGGTACACAATAGTTACTGGACTTAACTCAAAGGCAATGTTTTATTTCAGTTGGAATTTTACTGGGATTGAATATGTTTCTGAAGTCACTTCAAAGTTGTTTTTACCGAAGAAGAAAAACACTGGCAGGTGATAAAAGTGACTGTGGCCGTGACGATTAAAGAGCCAATAATACTGCACTTAGTGTAAGTCAACTTTGTACTGAAGTACTGCAAAGTATGTGAACATCTCAACGCTTTATTAAGTCTGCACCTTGTCAGACACATAAATAACTAGAGATTTCTGTGTTTTATGTTTGCAGATACTTTAGAAGAAATGTTAATTTCCAAAGACAGGGGTGACGAAAAAAAAAAAAACACACCTCATACATTCATTAGACTCAATATGTTAAAAAGAAATTGACTGAAGAGAGAAGCCTCAGCTGCACCAATGACTTAACAGTCACAACATTGTCTATATATTCCTCAAGATGTGAGGAATGCCAAAACACCTCCTCTGTCAGGGAGAGACTTTTCACATCTCCTCCAAAGTTATTCACTGTGACACAACAATGCTGGATGTCACCGGTTCCAAAGAAAGAATGTCATTTATGTTTCCATGGAAACGTAGACCAGAAGTTTTTCCAAATAAATAAATAAATAAATAAAATAAGAATACTTTGTGAGTGATGTTTTATGGTTTGTAATTCAACCAAAGGGGCCATGGTTTGAGTGTCTACATGGAAATGACTCAATGTGTTAAAATATAAATGTGTCTCTGAGACATCAGTGACAGCTTTGACAAGTTTATTATAGTTGTATATCTTCATTAGATGTTTTAATGCTCACAAATAAAATAAAATAATAATAAATACATTAAACATGACCAGACCTAATTTTTGCCAAAATTAGTTATAAATTATTAAAGTAAATGATTTTAACTTTGCAAAAAATGTATTTTGACTCATCACTGTCTGAAGATGTTGTTTATACCTGGACTAAAGTCTCATTTGCTCTCCTCCTCCCACTTCATGCGTCTACATCTCCCTCATTTACCTGTCTACTTTAAACACTCCTGGTGTATACAATTTGTAGTCTAGGTGTTTTAGAAAATATTTGCCCATACTGACAGCCTTCTGGGAAGATTTCTTTTTTTCACAATATACTCCTAGGTTTATAATAAAAAACAATTCAGCTGCAAACGATAAAAGTGTGTTTATATTCTCCCTGCTGACATTTGAACCGACTTCCAGCCACTGATGTGTTGCATAACAAATAACTCAGATTTGCATTGTGCAAATAAAAACTTTTCTCCAAGATTCAGCTCCAAATGTTTCTCCTCACTCCTCTCCCAGTCTTTGCCCTGCCCTTGTAGCTCTCTCCCTCTTTCCCCCTCTCTCTCCTCTAGCCGTATGTGTCTCCTGTCTGCCCACTCACTCCAAAACCTCCTGGCATTCAGCTCCCATCACGTTCCTGCCAGGCTTGCCAGTTCTCCTCCGGCCTTACTTCTCATTCAGTGCTGCCCTGCCATTTTCTCATGTTGCCCTCCAAATTGTCTGCGGAGCCCTCTCCTCCACATTAGCATTAATTACCCCAGGCCACTGCAACAAATCTCTGTTTAACCATGTCGGTCCACGTCTGTCGTTTGACTTCACCTACTGGATGTCAAACGCCACTGCTGTTTTTACTGAATATTAACAAGAAAATACAATAACAATTCTTATTTTTCCTTTAAAATCCACACATACAGTACACAGTTTTACAGTACTCTAGGCTCACAGTGAATCCTAGCTCCTTCAGCTGTACAGTTTCATATTGTAGATTATTTTTAACAGTCTAATGTTCATGTTTTGGGTTCATAAGAAATGCAGACACGTGGCTCACACCTGGCTCTTGCCTAAGCAGAAAAATTGAAAGCCAGGCCATTGGCTTTGAAGATGGGAGAGTTTCAGGAAATGTTGTGATTGCCACAAATCCATGGATTTTAAATTTACACTCTCTCTGAAACAACTGTTAAACACAATATGCTAACATTCATGTGGTGGGACAGAACCACACACAAAAAAAACACTGAAAGCACTGAAAACCTCATTAGAACATATTACAGTGACAGCTGAGCTCTAAGTCCAACATTTTCGGCCCAATCAGAACCTGAATAATCAGGTTTGCATGGTTTCATTTCTTTATGGTCAGTCATAAAGTTCTCAGACAGATGTCATTGTTGAAGACGTCTGATGTAATAACTGAAGCAGGTCACTCAGAAGTTAGAAGGTCACTCGGAAGAAATCAGATCAAACCTCATGTGAATAGGAAGTGTTTAAAATGTTGCCACAGGTTTGGATCAGCAAGATGTTTATTAATAATACATTTTAAATAAATACATTTATTACATTATTATTCATTTAAATTAACAACTGACAAAATCAGCTTTTGTTGAGAAAAAATAAATCTGTGGCAGATGATTAGTTGCATTCTGAAAGGGTAGACACATATTGTGACTGATCATTGTCAGAGGGAGCGTTTCCTGTTCTCTATGGTGAGTCCATCACAGCCATTAAAATCCCTTTCATATTTTGCCACATTTGTTGATTCATTCGTGGCCCGTCTGAGCCTCGCAGCCGCATTTCATTTACAACAGTCGGCCCTTGAAGCCAGTGATTGCTGCCAGTGAGTGAACGAAAAAACAAAATCAGCTCAGCTGTTCATATATATGTACTCTGCAGTGTTTGCCAAGAGAAGCTCAGTGTTATTTGCTCAGTGTTTCGAGCTAAAGCCAGAGGAAATGTCTTTTCAGTCTCTGCTGTATTTGTTAGAAAACTATTTTAATTGTGTGCCTCAGTCAATGGTTGATTTATATACAGGGGAAACACTAAGAAATACAACAGAAACTGAAGATCCATACAACGGTGGATTTATATTATTAATTAGCTAAACCAGTGGTTCCCAAAGTAAGGGGCGTGTTTCTATTTTGGGAAGTGGAAGGAAGCAAGGCAAATTCATTTCCATTTGAATATTTTCTTTATTTCTCAACAGTGAAAAAAAAACCACAGTAGAGATTATGGTTTGACCACGGTTACTTCTCATGAGATGCAATGCATAATACTTACAAACATGACCCTCTTGGGAATGTGGTCGGACTCGACCAGTGGGTTCTTGTAAAGCCATAGCTCCTCCGGTTGAATCACTCGCTCAAACGGCTCCAGAAATTCAGTGAACCTGCAGAGAAAAATACAGCAAAAGTACAATCATTTTAATGAGCCGGTGGAACACTCTAAATGTTTTTCTCCATTCTTTTCAACCTCCAGGAAGGAGACCTGACTTTTCACACCCAGGATAGGTGCGAACAAATAAATATTTGTCCCCTTCACCTACAGCCAGAGATCTGTCGGAGACAAACTGGCTCTCTGTTGTCTTTGCATCGTCTCCCAGACAACTCAATACACTGCTCCGTGGTGCAGCTGCTGGATATCTCCTGGAGCCAAGGAGAACTATGAATATTTAAAACAGAAAATCTACAACCGAGGTAGACTGTCTGCCATTGAAGTATTACAGGAGCATCACCCCCGTGGCAACACCAGGCAATAATTAACATGAAGAGTCACATCTTACTGAGCGTCTGTGTCTCACACTGAGTGGAAAAGAAAAGTGAAAGTGAAAAAAAGATGTAGAGCTGCAGATTAAGGCCATTCAAATTCTAAAGGAGGACATCTTACGAAATAGAAATAGAAAAAATTAGCTTTTAGCTTTTGAACCATTGAACTGGCTTTGACTTAAGTCACTTTGTCTTCATTTAACTTAGCGAGCAACAACACATTCATGATGACAGCGTGACATCTGTTCACTCATTGACAGCCCAACCTAAATAAAACAATCTGTGCAAAAAGTTAAGAGGATTAATCACAGCAAAATACTAGCAGGTATATAGGCTATAGTCTATAGCAATTATTCCATTGAAAATGTAATTGTGAAAATATGAATTTGAGAACCACTGTACTATAGGGTGACTCAGTGTATGCAAATACCAGTTTGTACCAACTTTGTATTAGAGAAATTTTAAGTGGACGAACAATTATTACTGATTATACAGCACTCTACCCACACATTAACATAGGTCCAAATGTGATTCTGAGTGAACTTAAAAATGAACTAATGAGATTTAAACCAGTCATTATTACAATCTCAGATCTAAAATATGAATGACCCAATTACAAAGCCAATTAAACATAGAGTGACTTCAGTTGTATGGAAAGAAGTACATGCCCTATATGAACACAGGAACGCATTCTTGAGTAAAGCTCCCTCGTCCAACACATGCCCCTCAGCAGGACATTTATCACCTCCGCTCCACTGGGGCTGCTCACAGACTGCAAAATTCTCCACAGCGCCGTCGTGTGAACCCGACTGTGAAAATGTAAAAGAAGCCATTGAATAAACAGCAGACAAGTCTTTAGCAAAGCCTAAAACAGACTGGTGTTGTACAGATGTTATTACCTTGAGCCCAGAAAAACACAATTATGTCTTTAATGTCCATGAAAGACACATAAGGGTAGGGACTGTTTCTGCAGTGCGTCTCACCTTGCTGAGCCTTTCTGCATGAATCACTTCAGCTGCATCACATTTATTATACTATGCGGTGAACAATAAATTGTACTGTACGCCAGGTTAATGATACAGACTCAGCTCTTAACAATTTACTCCAGTCTATGTCTTTAATTGATATGTTCAGACAGCAGAGACAACATACCAGCAGTGTAGGGAGACAAAATGACAGAGAGAGAAACCTCGGCTGGTCATTGAATTAGTCCAGTGGTCAACCTGTCACTCCACAAGGTCAGGCTTCCAACCAACTCTCCACACTATGTGTTCGAGCCTCTCTTTGCCTCAAGGTAACTCATTATTATTCATTGCTATAATATTTGCTTAAGGCTGGAAGTAGAATGTTCAAACTTCCATCCTTGATAATTATAACCAGCGCCTGTCAGGGTTGGAAAGGTTAAAAACATTCAATTGAATCTCATTTTAAAATCCTGTCATACTTTCAGATACCAATTCACCTCCAAGGTTTAAATAATATAATACATATTATGACCCACATCCATTGTTAACCTCGACTGGCTGCTGCAAAATTACCAAAATATTCGTTACTCTGGCTACAGCCCATTTTCTTAAAAAGTAAATGTTTGGACTTGGATGTTTATTTGTCAGATTTTTTTAAATTATCATCATTATTATTATTTAGATCTGTAATTAAAGCTATGCTGCTAAAAGGTTGGCATACTGTTACACCTAGCTGTTAGCCGTCTGACATTCAAAACTAATATTACAGATGTTAGTCATCAGGAATCTCCCCCAACGGTTCAACCAATGAAGTTCCACTGGTTCCAGTACCAGAGGTCGGTGTCAAACAAACTACTGCAGACAGTTCCAGTCTCTTAACAAATCCTTCAGTCGTTAGCTCACTATACTGTTTTTCCAATACTATCCTCACTGGCAGCTTCACACACACACAACGACCTCCAGCGTTTATTGAATTTTGTTCTCTTTCCTGGTCCAACTCCTTAGTGGAGAGAAAAGATTTCTTCCATTTTCTAATGAAACACTGGTCACTTCTTACTGATCTGTAATGTAAACACCAAAAATCTAAATATTTTAATGTCTACCAGCAGAACATGTCATTTGCTTAGACTGAAGGTTTCACAAAACTGTATCTGTTTGTATTTTCACACACATCACAGAGTTGTCTTTAAATAGCTCAATAAAAAAGTTGAAGTTGATTTCTGATTAATTTAGAATCCATAACTTCTTCTTCCTCCACCAAGTGTAGGCAGGTAGGCTTACTGTCTCTAAGATGTTGAGCACATCCTGTAGCAATCGGGATCTTGTAATTCATTATATAAATTGAATTTCCCTGCCTTTGAGGGGATTCATTTAATAGGATAAAGATGGGATTTATGGACTGAGGGGAAGAAGTGTGTCATTTACAGCTCGGTGACAGTTTAAGGCAGGAGGACAGGAGGACAACAACGATTACTGAACATTAAGGCGTGGAAAAAGAAATGTCACGCACTGCTTGATAACAAGGTTTTCGTGCTGGGGAAGGAATGCAGCCTCATTGATTCAAATACACAAAGACATAAAGGTCTAATGAAAAACTAATTTCAGATTTGATTACCAGCCTAAACCGCTTTTAGCCGTATCATTATTGGGACTGTGCTACAGTTGTATCTGATATTTGAATTTATATCACCGAGCCTGATACAGGAGAAAAAAAAAGTGACAAAAATCATTGGTTTTGTTTATTTGTTTTACTCCAGTGAGACCCACTGGCCTCAGGCACAATCAGTGGACAAGAGAAATTAGCTTTTTAAGCCCCTGAACTAAGCACCACTCTCTAGCTGCTTGAGAAGCACCTTTGCTCTCATTTGTCAATATTTATATGCTTGGTGAGAACTACAGCATTTTCCTTATGGCAGAACATTTCAAATATATCCACAACCTTTTGTTATCTGCACTTTTGTATAGACAAGAATCTTTTCAACTCATCCATAAACACAAATGCCCTAAAGTGCAAGTTTTACTTTTGTTTTTGTCTCAAATTCTTTACTTCTGACCTTTTCAACTTCAGAAGTTGGTTTCCTGTTTAACTCTTTCCTCTTACTATTCATTAAAGCACTGCAACTAGGCCAATTTATCATCAGAAATTCCCATCCACATCTATGGGATGCATTTTCTAAATCTAGTTCAGCCACAACCAAGGAAAAAAAAAAACTAAATTATTTCTCAAACTCGGCTTGGTTTCTCTCCCCCCTCTGTAGCTCTCCGTCTTCTGCTTAAAACTTTGCAGATTTACCACTCAACTGCTTGCAGAACAATAGAAGTAGCTAATTTAAAAGTTCTAAATTTACGGCGCACTGTCGGCACAATCTGGGCCTGTGACTTTTGGGAATACGTATCATTTGATGTGCCACCATGACAGAAAGTTGAAGTTAAGCAACTTCTGCCTAATTAGGGAGATTTGCCGCAAAGCAAATGGTCAGAAATAAGAAAAGAAACACTTGAGATTATTCTCATGCATAAATGAGAACAATCTGTTTTTTTCTTTATGTTTTTTTAAGATTTTAGAACTACGCATGACAGAACTATTCTGTTGTGCCTTTGTTTTGTTTTGTTTTTTCCTCAAGATAGAAGCAGGACATTGGGTCAAAGTTATGTTTAGAATAAATGCAGAGCTGGACCAAGTAGATAAGCTGCATTTTTTATTGCTACCACTGGATCAAATGCAGTGTTAATGTGTGTTAGAGATATATGGGTAAAACATATATCACCATATACAGTAATGAGTGCACAAAAACCAACAGAGCAGAGTTCCGACAACAACAACTGCTAAAACATGTGTCCGTGTATTCAGGTAAGGGTAAAAACACCTCCTCCATTTTTGGCAATAATAAACGCATTACATGTCCAAGCAGGGATTGGTTAACAGGAAGCCAGATGTTATAAAGGCCTGACACTGGGCCAAGAATGTGAACTGCACGGCTCACCTCGGAGACAGAAGGCGTGACCTTCATCTCTCTGGAGGAATGGAAAATATCAGAAGGATTTAAAGTGCCTTGACACGAAGGCACAAAGCACTGAAGCTGTGTGGACAGCAGCCGTCAGCCAAGGACAGGCTTTGTCTTTTATTGGTGATGGTGGTGAAAAAGTTTCCTTCACTCCATCACACTTTTCAGCAGAACTCGCAGGTTATGACTGTGACTGCAATCCTCAGACGCATTCAGATGAATGCTGGGCTTTTGTGTCGGCTCACAATTGAATTGGCTTCCTCTTTGAGGACACGCTGAACACCACAGCTACAAGGCCAACAGTGTAGGAATAAAACCTGCACTGAATATATATATAAAAAAGAAATGAATGTTGCTGAGTGAAAAGACTGGATTCATTTAGAAAGAAAAATAAACACATCATTGAGCGCTAATAAATGCCTGATCACAGACTTGAGCTTTAAGAGCTTTGGTTTACCACAATGTCAACAGACTAACAGGACGAACAAGTACAATACAGTGTAACTGTTACCTTCAGAAGTCCAAGGAAGAGAGTCCTTACTCAGGGGATAATGGCCAGATGGAAAGAAGGAAAAAAACACCAACCGATCCAACAAAGTGTGAGGGAGTGAGGGACACAGACGGACATGACTCCACTGACGTAGATTAAAAAAACTAAACTAGTACTTCATTTTGGATGACATTTGGAAAGGCTGCACCAACCTAACAATGTTTTATGTGGGTCTCAGTTATAATACCTGCTTACACATTTACCTTACATTCAGATGGTCCTGGGTTCGAGTCCCAAAGGACCTAACATTCTAGGTGCCACCTGTTGGAAACTCTGTTGCAGCAGATCTACTGTTAGCATAACAACAAAAAGCCTGTGTGGGATTTTATTTTGAAAAACCACTTCTGTCCACTCTGTCTTTGCAGCACTGTGCTCAGGCAGCAGCAGTCTACACACCTGTATGACCTCAAACTAACTTTTTTTTAACCAACATCAAGTTAAAAACTTTATCTGTGTCCTCATGTGACAACAGCCACATGTGACCCGCACTTGATAACTTATTTAATCCTATTAAAAAAATACTGAAGAGATTTACGAGGATCTAAAAGTCATTAAACTCAGAGTTTTGTAAGTCCTGCGGGAAACTCCTCTCCTCTTCTGTTAACCATATCTTCGTGGATCATTTGCTGTGGCTAAATTCCCAATCCTTATCCCGCAAGTCAATGCATTAGTGTTGCGATCTTGAGGCTTTATTCAATTATGTGTTCATTGGACTGGCAGTGAGGAGATGAATCAATGGGAATGAGACATAATTAGACAATAAAAGATGAGATGGAATTATGCAGCAATGTGTGCTGTCTTTTTGATGCTATGCCAAGTGGTGGCTGCCACACCAGCTAGGCATCGTGACGCTTAAGAAGCAACTGAACAACGCAGCAATGACATGACCAAATGTAATGCCAGGCAGTTTGGAGTCACAAAATCAAAAACTTACTTTAAACAGGACAAGGCAGGAACAACAGGAATTAGAGCAGGAAGAAGGAGGTACATAGGACCACAGCACAGGGACCATAGACCCATCACAATGAACTGACAGGGACTGAGTGATGGAGAGAGGTACTATATATAAAGCCAGGACAACAGGTGACATGAGTGGGACAAATGAACATGTGATCACAGGACACAGGTGAGGGTGAGGACACTGATTACTCAGCAGAAGGACAGGGAGTCAGACAGACCTCACACAAAAAGAAAATAGCCAAGGTCAATAGAATACAGCAACTATAATAAAGTCATTTGAAACGACATTATGTTTTCATGTTTTTTTTAATCGGCCACCAAACGTCCTCACCTCGTCTCTTTTATTACTTGAACCTGAGCTATAATTAAATAACTGTTTAATGACTTTTGAGGACAATTGTATAACATTTTGTGCTTTAACAGAGTTAAATGAATCAAACAGCTTTTAAAAGATTTAGTTCTAGAGTTTTTATTCTTTAAGTCCTTATTGTAAAAGCAACCAGACCGAATAAAATCCTCTTGAACTTAGATTTTAAAGTTTAAAACAAATGAAGAGTCCTGTGTAGCAGCTGAAACTTCAGAGCGTTTATGAAGTTCTCAGCTCTCAGTGTCAAAGCATTTAGTTACATACTATGGTGCTATAAAATTGTAGTTTAATTTACGGATTGAATCTACTTTCTTTAACTCAAAATCTAAAGTCTACTTTTTTGTTTTTTGCAAATGTTTATTCAGTTCTTAAGCTTAGCAGTTGCTGACAATGCTGCCGTTCCTCCTGCCAACATTTTAATCCTGCTCTGCTGTCATGGAAGATTCTGCATCAAATTAGATATTACATTTTTTTGCAGTTTGAAGCATTTTGCTGCATATCACATCTCACAAAGTATGTTGATATTCTCCAGAATCTAATTACAAATCTTTTGACAAATTTGTTTTTCTCCTGCTTCTTCTTCTTCTTCTTCTTCTTCTTCTTCTTCTTCTTCTTCTTCTCCCCTGATAAAGCCTAACTTAACACTTAACACATGATTCTTAGCTCTCAACCCAGTGTAATCTGCTGTGTTCCTTTATCTACACATTAAGACAACTCCATCCTATTAAAGCTCCTCTGATATATCACTTGGCTTAATGACTCATTACAGTAATATATTACTAGAAAGAGTGGTTATAGAACAAAATTATATTACTTTGTAATATATTACTGCCAAATATTTATATACGTTTGCACTTTATAACCGTATATTCTGTACAGGTCGTGTGAATATGTGGCACATCGTTTATCATCAGCCAGATTCACTGTCACAGTGTTTTTACCCTTAAGTCTATGTGTAATGATTGATGATTGAGAGCTGCTGAAATTAAGGAACGTTTTAGGTACAGCACCGTTTCCTAGTTTGAGATCCTACACTCAATATTCTGCATTCCTTCAGGCAGGAAATTTGTATTACTGCAGCAGAATACATATAGCCTGGTACATGGGCATTGGATTCGTATTGTCTGCTGATTATTCACGACGTATACAAAACAAATATCTTTAACACACCTGGAGCACACAAGTGGATTGCTGGAGGGTGGTGTTGGAAGAGCAGGTGGCAACAATGATGGTATGTGTCAGCAAATGGAATATAAAGTGACACAGACCAGTGGATTGGATAAGTCTGCTTGTACCATCTACTACAGCTTTCCCCACCAGATACTTCACATCCCACAGAACAAAACCTCACAAAATGAAAGTGTGACACCTGGGTGTGTTTAGTTGAACACAACACTGTTATACTCACAGGAAAGAGAAAGAAAGATACAAACAAAGAAGCGTATTTAATTGTTCAGCATGTCAATTTCGCATAGTCTCACAATGAGGAAATTCAAAATGTGAGACTGCAACCTACACAGGCGCCACTGGAGGCGCCACTAAGTACGTGGTTCCTCTGGGGCTCGAACCCAAGACCTTCTGAGTCTAGGCCGGTGTGCTAACCCTTCACAATGGAACCACATTAATGAGCACTGATGCACTGCTTTAATAAGTTGGGCATTTTACATGCACCAGGCTTCTTTGCCACCTTGCTGTTTTGCTCAATTAAAATTAAATTGAAATCACAGGAGTTCAAATTATATTTTATTAGGACCAATTCCTAGTAGAGAAATTGAACTATTATGTAAAACTGAGGCTAAAATATTGATTTTCATCTGTAATTTTTAAATTAAAGAACATTCCGGATGACTAATGTGGGCTAATATCTATTATTTAGGTAAGTTGCTATCCACAGATCAGATCCTGTGATAATGACTTTTTTTCTTAGCTTATAATTGACATGAATTCAGGAAAATGACTCAAGCTAATCATTAGGGTTAAATGTGAAGTTTTCTGCTTGGTTATTCCAGAAGGCGAAGACCTGCAGACTGGTGCTCAGAGTAGCGTTATGCCTGTGGGCAGAGGAACATCAATACTGATGTTGTTTTTTGCACCTTAACACCAGGTATGTTAAGGCTGTAGAGCCAGGAAAAGGAAAATAAATTTGCTCTGAGACAAAATCCACATATTATTTTTTATTATTATTTGAATCCCTATAAATTTAGCAGAGGTTGGAAACTGTATGCTGCTGCACTAACACAGACTTCCTTACGTATGGCCTTGAAGACAGCACCAGACGGACCCAGTCTGTGGAGCCTCAGTGGCTAATGTAATCACATTTAATCATACAATGGTCAACATAATTACTGATGTGCCGAGGCTTCCTGTGAAGTAATCTGCTGTGCAAGTCATGATCCTGGAAGTGCAGTGTACGTGACATCTCTATTTGTTTAAGAGGTGGCTGTCGGGTTTTGACTGAATGTGTCAGGAATGCACAGCACCGGCCCTGTCACTGGCAGAGAAAGGTGCAGGAGAGTGAGATAGATGGTGAGTGACACTCGGCTCGCGCCGGTGTCCCAGGAGATATCTCAGGTTGAAGAAGGAGGGCAGAGGAAACACACCATCCTTTCATTGTCATGCAAATAACTTGGTGGTCAAAACAGTGTGTGTCTGTGTGTTTGTGTATGTGTGTGGGGGGAGGACAGGGGGAGCACGGAGGGGCTTGTGAGGTCTGTGCATCGGTGTCAGTGTTGGTGTCCATTTTTCTTTTGTGTGTATTCAATAAATATATCCTTAAATTAACATTAAGATATTCATTCAAAGGTTTTTGTATTTGAATTATTTTTTGTTTTTTCTGGGTAGAAAATACGTTTGTGATTTTATTCATTTTAATTCTCCTTCACATTTGATCTGCCTTTTGTCTTTTAGTGAAACAGAAACAGTTATTCTCAGCTCAGATGTGAAGAATTTGGCATAAAGACAGAGGGCGACCGGCATCTTTCCACCCTCTGTTCTCTGTGTGGACGCTGCTTCTCCTTATCGAGCCAGGAAACACTCAGTGTCTGAATGCTTTTCTCAGCCCCAGGGTGGAGTCAGATGTCACCTTGGTCAGAGTGTGCAGTTTTGGTCAATTGATGTCTCACCAAACAGTCCTAGAATTTTTTATTTTCACCGACTGTGAGCAGCAAATCGAAATTGGATGGAGCCCAGGAAATTGTGGATGTTGATGTAGACCCAGATGTTGACTCTCATTTGACTGTGTCGACAGCAAGAATTGAAGAGTGCCCTCTGGGTGCCTTCCCAAAATTCCTACAACATATAATTAATGCCACACTTTAACTTGTTTAAACAAAGGAAACTTGACTCCGAATTTTTGTGAATGCAGATTTTTCATCTGTCAGATAAGGAGAGTGCAGGTGATGAATTGACTGAATTAGGCCAGCTATATCAGAAGTGGAATACACCACCCGCACTCAAAAGTGGTCCAGTCAAGCTGTGCAACAGCAACTCCTATGTCCTCAGGTGGAAAACAGTTGCATTTTGCTGGGGCTTCTTTGGAGAAATTAACATCTGTTGATCTTTTTTATTCCTGAACTAATCAGCCTTAAAGCCAACATGTCTCTGTGTCCCTGTGTTTGGCAGAACTTTCCTGTTTACTGCCTAATGTTCTGTTTCCCCCCTGACCGTGTTTGTTTATTTAGATCCAAACGTCCACACACTTTTCCCATTTCAGAGCATTAGCAGACACTCTGACAATGTTTTGCTTCATTAGAATGAACCTGTTAAAAAGGTTGATTCACTTGAACTGAGAAATGTGCCAGTGTTAAACGCGGGCCATGCACATTTTTTTAAACAACTTGTTTCCTGTTTCAAATTAAATATTAAATCTTTGTTGGATTGAATCGCTTGTTGTAAAGAAATGAGAGAAGGTTGAAATGAACGCATAATCAAAATAATTCATCTTTAAAGGTTATTCAGATTACAATTTTCATCACATTTTAAAGCATGAACAGAATGAGCCCCACTGTGTAACCAATAGTTCCACCATCCATCCACTTATCACTTATTGTTGTTCTAATACAGTGTTCATACTCATGCTGTCATTTGCACACGCTGCGGGAAAACGTTTTGTTTTGAAGTTTTGAATCCAAAACTATCAGCTCAAGGTCCAGCCTGAGGAGGATTCAGCCGGAGGTCAGGAGCCTAGCTTACATCAGACCAGCCTCAGACTTATTTACTGCCCTATTTACTGTGCAGAGCAGTTAGAAAGTCTAAGGCTGACAATCTGTCTGACACAATTGCCAAATGGATTGCGAGGCACTGCGGACAGTTTCATATTGTTCAGTTAATGTAGTTTGTTAAGAGCTTTAAGTTATTGTAAGCTAGTAAAGAAACACAAAAATCCATCGTTTTAAGTTATATTTTGGCATATTTTTTACATTTTTCTCTATTTATAATTCAATTATTAGAATTATTTGAAGATATTTAGGTTGTTTTATTTATGCAGAGTTATTACGATCAATCATGCTTATCACGATTAATCGTGATTACTCATTATTAATATGCCCTGTGGTTAATCAGAGAGAGAAATATATATTTCTGCTTTAGGACAAAATGTCAACTCATCACCTAAATAACATAATGCACAGCAGAGAACAGGCCCTGTTGTTTTTCCTGACATTTTGTTCAGGACTTGTTTGATGTATCCTCCCTACTATTTGTACAAATGGAGATTGTCGTAAACGCTCACTGTCAACATCAAAACACTACATTTTCACTAATGCTATTCTCTGTTTGACATCCACGGGGATGACAAAACATTACAAGACGAAACGTCTCAGAAACCAGTGATCAGTTCAAAGAAAATCACCTTGTGTTTCAACTCCAAACAGGACCCAGCTATGTGACAAATTGAAGAAAAACACGGCATAAATCTTATTTGTATGAGGTTTCTGGGCACTGTGACCTGCCACAACAAATCTAAAGCAC